GCAGTCGCTGCGTGGACCTATCAGAATGGCCCTCGATCGGCCGAAGTTACGCGAGATCCACCGAAGTTGCGCGAGCGGCCCGTTTGAATCTGAGTGGAGTAACGATTTGCGTTATTACGCTTTCATATCCTCGATTTTTAGACAATGTCACTTATGGGCTAGTTAGTTTTCTCATGTGAAATTTCATCCTCTTTCGAAAAGGTTTTGTATGAATTTTGCATCAGATCAACCCCCAAGAAGATATCGGCACGAAATAAACACGCGTCAGGCTTTCTCCCATCTGAACACATGTTAAGCTGCGGCCGAGTTTCATCTACTAGCGTGACGTCACAGAAACGTTGTTACGGTCTACGCGACAACCCCCATCAACTGTTACGTACATCCTTGGATATGGAATAGAAAATGAACATTTTTAGCGCATGCAGACCAGAGATCATTAACTATCATTGATCAAAAATAGTCGCCCGATAAATGAAATTTGCAAAACGTTGTGTTTTTTCAAACGGTGATCAGATAGAGACTTACAATTTCGAAAATTTCTTCGTCACATTCTATACAGGGTGTCCCAAAAGTCCCTTCCACCCCCTCTAAAATATTACCTAATTAATATTTTGAAACGAAACTTTGGGGATGTTCATCGATCAATGTTAGCTACTTTTCGGACCTCCCAAAATTTTCGCCCCCCCAACCCCCCGTGGGGAGGGGCTGCGGACCCCAGCATTTTTTAAAGATAGCAACTCCTCCTTCGTGACACATCAATCGAAAGAGAATAAAAAAAACTGCTGTTTTTCTCGTATTGAAATATCCCTGGATACCGATTTTCGCGCATATCCATCGACAAAAAACCGAGGTGCCAATTTCTGGCCGTTTCGAACTTTAACCGACCGCCATTTTTAAACAGTTTGAGATATTGACTTTCGGTTTGAGGGAGAAGTTTTCTTTTTTTATGCTCTTTCGAACGAAGCATCACAAAAGGGGTCTTCCTATTTGAAAAAAAAGTTGAAGCTCGTTGCCCCCTCAAGGGAGCCCCTTGAAAATTTTAGGGGGCCTAAAATTAGCTCCCTTCGACCAAAAAACATCCCCCAAGTTGCAAATCTTTACCTCAATTAGATAAAAAGTAAGAGGCGGAGGAAGGGACTTTTGGATCACCCTATACAGGGTGTCCCAATAGTCCCTTCCACCCCTTCTAAAATTTTACCTAATTGATATTTTGAAACGAAACTTATAGGATGTTCATCGATCAATGTTAGCTACTTTTGGGACCGCCCAAAATTTTCGCCCCCCCCCCCCGTGGGGAGGGGCTGCGGACCCCAACTTTTTTTTCAAATAGCAACACCTCCTTTGTGACACATCAATCGAAAGAGGATAAAAAAAGAAAATTTTTGGCGCAAACCGCAAGTCAAAATCTTAATTTTTGACAAAATGGCGGCCGGTCAAAGTTCAAAATAAT